CCTCCAGCCTGGAATGGTCATTCTTTAACTCTCAGCTGTACCTGCTGAATGTTTATCCTCCTGTTAAAACCTAGCACAGGTGTTTCCTCTCCTTTAGAGCTTTTTCCTATTCCAAGACAGCAGAGATATATCTTTTTCTATTTCCATATCACTTCGTAGAACTGTTAGGGTATTTCTCACATTCTTAACTATTGCTGTTATTGTACCCTCTGTCATATTGCGAGCACTTTGAGTTGAATTTAGTTAAGTGAATGTGCGCTGTGTCTGCTGTGTTTCAGGGACTATGCTAGGTACTCATAACACATGCGTAAGATGACCTCTCAAATTGCTCATGGTGTAATGGGAGATAATTCTGCCTAGGGCACTCCTATGGCCTAGTCTACTGCCTTGCAGGGAGGAATTCAGGTAAGTTACTGAATTTACTTGAATTAGGTCAATAGTAATCATAAAAATCACTCTAAAGGTAAGCATAGTTGCCTTTTATTGAGCCTGTAGTACGAGTGACTCACTGTGCCCCTTGTCATACCTGCATTTGCTGATTTCATGCTCCTGACAGCTCTGTGAGCGACGGCCTTCTCTAAACAGAGGGGATCACGGTAACCTGGGTGTACGGCTGGCCATAGATTTGCCAAGATGACAACTTGACTTAGGGCTGAGTTTGATCTAGGCCTTTCTGACATTAAAAACCTAGTACCTAGTCTAGACCCAGTTACGACCTCACAAAACCACTTTCATTCCTTGTGCTGCGGTTTCCCTGTTGGCAAAATGAAGCGGAGGCTCTGCAACTCTGTCCACTGCTCTCGTCCATGAATTTGTGAGCTTGGAGTTCTCACTGAGCTTCCATTTGGTTGGTAAACAGCAGAAAAATTAAAAGCAGAACAAAAACATGGACCACCCACCAGCTCGTAATATAGGTCCGTAATCCCTTATCTGAAATTCTGAAATCCAAAAGGCTCACAATACTGAATCCTTTTTAGCAAGTTTACCTCTAAAACCAATTTGGCAGCAAAAGCTGACCGGAATTGATGTGAAAGGTTTTTTTTTAATTGTTATTATTATCTCAGTTTATTCTACTTAATGAGAATATTTATATATCATATTGCAGATGCATGGGGGAGTGTTATACAATATGTGGTATTTACTCTGCATTTCTTTTCTAAAATTCAAAAATTCTGAACACATTTGAACACATAATAAAGGATTATGAGCCCGTACCGATGTCAACATATCAAGCTATTTAAAACCAACGTGAGGTTTGCAGAAGTTCATGAAGCACACTGTAGGTCAGCAATCCAAGAACAGAGAAGCAGAAAAGCTGGAGGGTGGTGGCGGTGACACTGGAGCCACCGGGCCACCGGAGCAACGTGGGAGAATCACTTGTGCAAATCTCATGTGGGGATCATGTGACTGAGGTTTTTGAGTTAGGCCCCAGCCTTCGTAAAGCCAAAGCTGATGGATATTACAGACGCTTCCATGAACGAAAGGGTATTGGAGGTGCTTCTAGGAGGCAGAATTTCAATAAGCACTAGCTCACTCTTGTGCAGCGATCTGTTGAAGCAATTGGAACTGTTTTTACTCAGAAAGGCCATCATTTGTTTTTTCTGTTTAAACATTTTCTCAAAGAGCATGCAAAGAATTGGAAAACCTTTGTCACTATTCTTTCCAAGGAACCCCCTTTTGTGTGTTTTAAAGCTTGATTAGAGGATTTTTGGAAACTTATTAAATCTTATGTTCCTAAATTGGAAGAATATGGTACAGAATGGAATTGTTACACAGTCTTTCTCTTTTAAATGTCAAGTTTTCAAGGTTTAACAAGAAGAGATTGAGCTGGCAACTGAAATCACATATTTTTGTATTTCTCAACTGTTCAAGTGCATGTTCGTATCTACCACAAATGTAAGTTTCAGGTGTTTAGTAGGGGACTCAAGAATGGGAAATTAAAAACAAAAGGAACGTTTATGCAGAATTTCTTGTTCACTTTAGGATTTAAATACAAGCGCGCTTAGCGGGAATGGCAGTTAAGTAAATTAACTACAGAAACCTTCACTAATCTCTTTATGTTGGGCAGTGCTGTAGGCTGAATAATGCCACCCTCCTCCCCAAAGTTATCCACCTCCTAATCTTTAGAAACTGTAAATATATTGTCATACCTGGTAAAAGGGACTTTACAGGTATGATTAAGTTAAAGAACCTGTGATGGGGAGATTATCGTGATTACTCGGCTGGTCCCAGTGTAATCACATGAGTCCTTATAAAGGGAGGCAAGGGGATCCGAGTCAGGGAGAGAAGACAGAAGGACTGCAGCAGAGCTCAGAGAGCAGAGAAGATGTTACTGCTGTCTTTGAAGATGAAGGAAAGGACCATGTACCAAGGCGTGTGGGCAGCCTCTAGATGTGGGGAAAGGCAAGAAAATGATTTCTACTTGAGAGACTCTAGAAGAAATGCAGCCCTGTAGACATCTTGATTTTAGCTCAGTGAGAACAGTTTGGGTTATCTGAGGCCCCGAACTGTAAGATAATAACGTTGGTTTTTTTAGGTTTTTTTATCTGAGGCCCCGAACTGT